TAGCTTAAAGATAGCATATCTTGTTCTGTTTCTTGCTGTTCTGTTTCTTGCTGTTTCAGCCAACACCACACATTTTAAATACATCTTCGTGCATCTAAATCGAATCCCTTATGCCTAAATGCTGGGCAAAATTCCATAGTTTATATCCACCAGTGTTGACTGATCGCATCCCTTAATATTTGCCACCTCAGTTGCCTCTACGCCCACCCCACACAACACCCCAGTGCACTCCCAGTTCCGTTTGAAGCAGGATTCACTTCTCCATGAGAATGTTGGGCAGGTTCTACCTGGGGATGTGGTCTGAACGCCCTCTGATGTCTCGGACTATGACTGGCAAGATAAGAAGTGGTGTATTATGCCCTTTGGCTTCATGCCCTCATAGATGAGTCTCCAAGGATACCTTCAGAAACAATTTATACCATGTGGTTTGATTTTTCCTTCCTTATGCTTATGAAATTGCCCTGTATGGAATTAAGAGTCACTATACCTTAATGGTTAAGTGGTCAGATTCTGGACACTTATAGCCTGGGTAGAATATTTTATTTTATCTATTTTTAGAGAGAGGGAAGGGGAGGGAGAAAGAGGGAGAGAGGAACATTGATCAGTTGCCTTTTGCAAGACCCCACCTGGGGGCCTGACCTGCAACCCAGGCATGTGCGCTGACTGGGAATCCAACCGGCTACCTTTTGCTTGGCAGGTTGGCACTCAGTCCTCTGAACCATACCAGCCAGAGCCAGCTTGGGTTTAAGTTCCAACTTTACTATTTACCAGCTATGCTGAATTTATCTTTGCCTCAGTTTCCCATCTGTACAAGGGGGATGGCAATAGTGATAGTATCCACCACACAGGGTTACTGTCATAAGCACTTAATACATGTTGACCCTTGTTTAAAATATGCATAGGGTCTGAGCCCATGAAAATACATACAAAGGAATAGAAAAGTTAAGACATTACAAAAAAAAAAGAGAGAAACAGAAGATGTGTCTGGCTACACTAAGGTGATTCTGTGTTTAATCTCTAGTGACAGGCCTTTACAAGGCCATTTTGGCCTTCTAAGACCAAACACTTAAGTATAAACAACAGAACCCCAAAGAAATCTGCTTTCTTCCCTCAGTCTGGCTCTGAGAGTTTTACAACTCACAAGTTCTGGTTCCAGAAAGATCCCACTCCCCCTAGTTTGTAAATGTGTCCTTGGCTGTCACCACTGGTCTTCTAATTCTTTGTCACTTCCCAATACTGGAACCCCTGAGAGCTTATGCTGGGTTTGGAAGAGATGGGGGGAGACCCCGGGGGTTGAGGGCTGACACTGGCTGTTGGGAAGGGCGCCTCCTTTTTCAGGCTGCGTGACTCAGACTGACTCAGTCCTGACAGCCCGGATAGGACCGAGCTTGGGAAGCAGCTCTGGAGGGGCTCAAGCCTGAAATTTATGTCTTGTTTGTCCTGGACCCATGCAATATTTTTTCTCGCCTTGAAGATGAAAGGGTTCCTATTCCTCACTTCCCCACCTCCTGCATTTTGTAACATGTAGGCGTCTGCGGTGCCCTTTTCATTTATCTGGATAATTAGCTTTAAAGGATCAGTGCATGTCCCCACACAGCCATAGCTAAAGATCTTAAAATATAAAACAGACAATCAGACAGCTTTCTGAGAAACGTCCTCACGTTCACTCTGTCTGTCGTGGTTCTTCCCACTCCTGTGACTATTATTGGTCTATAAACTCCATGGAAAGACCTTTCAGTGGACAAAGAGAAGCCGACCCTTCCACGGAGTTATAAATTCCCTGAGAGAGGGGCCAGCCTCTTGTATTTCTTTGATCCCTTGCAGCACCCAGCACAGCATCTTGTACATAGTAGATATGCAAATATTTGTTGATTGATAAGATTTCAAGGCTTAGATGGAAGTGAATGGGCAACATTTGTCTAAGGAAAAATAAATGGTTTCATATACAAAACCTTTTAATTCCCCTTATCAGGAGCAGTCAAAATTTTAATTTATACTAAAATATAGAAGTGCAAAAATTTTAGTATCTGTAAAATACTTTGTAAGTTTTTGGAATCTGCCTAATGAGGTGGATTTGTTTGTTTATTTGTTTCTTGACAGACATCTATCAAGTCCCCTTGTGTGTCAGATACTCCTCCGGGCATTAGAGAAACAAAGATGGAGGGAGTTCTTGCCCTAAGTTCACAGAGTGGAGAGACTGGCAGGTCAGCAAAACATTAAAGATTGTAAGATAAGCACTGTGATGAGGGCCTCAGTAGATTTACAGTAAAGAGTGGTGTGGAGGTTCTGAGCCCGAGTTGACTTGGTACCATGTGCAGTCAGAGCCCTTTGTTGTTGGCCCAGGAGCTGTGACTGAGGGCTGGGGGGTCCCCAGTGGACTGACGCTGAGCAGCAAACTCTGGGGGAGCCGCTGACACTTCAAACTGAGCTTTGCTCATTTTAAAATTGTAACTGCAACATTAAAATTTCTGATTTACTGAGAGAGTTAAAGTTGCACTTTGAGAATTGTAAAGCATGAGCAAATAATGATCTGAAAAGATGCCGCTCCCTCAGAGAACTGTTGCAAATACACATTTACTTCATACATAGGAGGTGCTTAAACACCTGAAGAGCTGCACGGATGTCTGTACGATTTCAAAATTAATTAACAGCTGATCTTCTCACCTTCTCCTTGGTTAAAGCCAAAAGTCAAAGATGGAAAGGTGGACAAGGTCCCTTTCAAAGTGCCTTATTTTTGTACAGGACAATGTGATCCAGAGTTTGATCAAATATCGGGGAGATTTACGTGTGGCTGGCTTTGGGTAAATTGACAGCAGCCTTGATTAATATATTTCACCTGCTCTCAGTAAGCCATGACAATAAAAATTGAATGAACTCATCTTAATGCTAATCCAAGTGAATGGAATTTCATTTGGCACAGCTTCATTATTTGGCAAATGCAGTAACCTACACAAGTAAAAAAAAGAGAGCAAAGCAGAAAATGGCTTTAAATCCCAGGCCCACAGCTACAACGGTGAATCAAGGTGACACACATCCTTTTTCTGGATTGAGACCAAAAGTGTCCTTGTGTCTTTTCCCGGCCTGGGTTTTCCTTGTTGTTGTTGAGGCCACCTCCAAAGAGATTCTCTATTCTCATTTCTTCAGTATCACGACTGAAGGGATGAGCCCCTTAAAAGTAGGTTAGATATCAGCCAGCCAGGAATAGAAAAAAATCAGTACAGGCATGGGAGTCAGTGAATTGTTTGTGCTCTCCACCCTAACCAGTTAAAAACCAGTAAAGAATGAAGGGAAATGGGCTTAAATGAAATCAAATGAGCTTGCTAACATGCCCCCATTTTCTCCACTTCCTAATCCTTTTATAAATTCCATTGAGATGGGATTTTCTTTTAGACTGATTACGTGACTTAAAAATCAGCATAATTACGAGATACTTGTTGAAAGGAAGTTCCTCATCTTGTCTGTTTGGTTTCCTCTCCAGTATTGAGTGGCAGATGACCTGGCTGCAACCAGCTCCATCTGGGACCTCCCCATCTCAGAGGTAAAGAGAAGCTTCCTGATAACCTCGAATGAGGAGACCAGGACCCAAAATAAAGCAGATGATTTTTCCAGCAACTCAATGGCAAAGCCAAGAATGAGGCTCTTGTTTTCAGTTGTTGTTGTTGTTTTGTTTTTTAATGACTTCACTTAGTAACATTAATTATTGTCCATGTAAAACTAGAAAATGAGATCTTGAAAAAAAACTAAGTTGAAATGTAATATCACAGAGCCAGTTTTTTAGCAGTAACATGAATCAGGTAATAAACAGCTCTGTTTGGTCAAGAATGGGGCTCTTGACCAAAGAATTTTTGGACAGGGAAAGCACAGGCTTCCTGCATGTCTCCACCTCTCTTTTGGCCTCAGAAGGGATCTTCTGGGATGTTCCAGGCCAGGATTTTTCTCGTTCTTTCTTTGGTCCTCCAAAAGAGTCTCAGAATTTCTAGCATCAATCATCATTATATTATCAACAACTATCACTTGCTGATTATCATAAATGACCTTTAAAGGGGCCTTAAAGAGAAGCGAGATAAAGTCCCTGCTTTTATAGAGCTTCAGTCTGGATAATATGATTTGAGGTTAAGGGAAACATTTATAATAATAATAAAAAGAAGAAGAAGCAGTTATTGAACCAAGTGTTCAGTGCTTTACTTATTTGTCTTTTCTAGTCCTCGAAGTAAACCCACCACCCACTTCACAGATGAGGAAACTGAGACTTGCTCAAAGGTCACAGAGCTTGAGTGAAGACACACGTGCACCACACTCCAAAGTCCAGGCACTGAAACACCAAGCAGTACTACCTCCCACGGGAGAGTGGATGTGGGAGAGTGGGAATGCCTGCGAAAGAGGAATAATAAGGGCTCTCTCCTCAAGGAGGGGAGTGTAGTAAATCTATGATTTTATAGTTATTATAATAATTGTACAGTCTCTTACCCCAGAAAAGCCCCTTTTCACAATACTCCTTCAAGTTAATTGAGTATTTTAATGTATTAATGTTCCTTTTGTCTGTACTGGTTCATCAAAGATTTTTTTTAATTTCTTTTTCTTATTAACTAATTTATTGAATATTTACAACATTTCTGAGTACCAAGCACACTTCTAATCACACAGTCCTTACAATAACACAAAGAGAGAGGTACTATCACTATTCCCATTTCCCAGATGAAGAACCGACACACAGAGAGGTTAGACAACTTGTCCAGAGTCACACAGCTACTAAGCCATGATCCCAGATTCAAACCCGGGCAGTCAGGTTCTGAATACAGACTTGAACCACTAAACCATGTTGCTTCGTACACACAGCCCTGCTGCCTGGGAAATGTTAGATGCTAACTTATGCCAGTGGCCAATCAAGCTGCTTTGCTTTGCAGAGTTGTGTCGAGTTGTGGCATTGCTTGTGAAAGTGGCACACAAGAGCTGTTTCCTAATGATCTCACTCCTGCTGCTGCTTCCTCCGTGGCCTCTTAAAGACTTTGGGACACTTCATAAATTTGCAAGCCATCCTTGCGCAGGGGCCATGCTAATCTTCTTTGTATCGTTCCACTTTTAGTATATGTGCTGCTGAAGCAAGCAGAAGTGATTAGTCAAAGAATGTGTATGAATGATTCATGGACACGGACAATGCAGTCAGGATTGACTGTGGGTGACAGGGGTGGGCTGGGTGGAGGGGAGCAAAAGGGAAAAAATTGGGACAACTGTAATAGAATAAACAATAAAAAAATAAAGTAGAGGAAAAAAAGACTTTGGGTGTCCAGTTTGTTCCTTCTTTTTAGAGCTTGTTTGGAGGTTGTAGCAGGGGAGCACAGCTACTCATATACCCTTGACCGAAGACCTGTCCTCTCCTCTAGTTGGAAAGGTCGTCCTGTTCAAGCAAGTGCACGGCTTCAGGAGGGACGCACATGAATTGGTGAGGGAGGAAGGGGACACCTGCCTCGCCAGCCAGATCAGCTGAATCAACCTGGCGATCCATGGGGTGATAGATGTTGCAGCCAGATCGCCCTCACATCCAGTTTCTTTTTTCTAAAGACATATTTACTCAGTGTCATGATCAGACTATTACATTTAACAATCAACAGCATGAGCACAAAGCAAAAAACACCTCACATTAAAAATCTTTGTTAGAATGCGTTACACTTTCCACAAAACAGAAACTAAAATAGCCTGTTATACAATTAGTTCCAAATACAGTCCTCATTCTTTGTGCCCATATACATGTGTCTCGCCTAAAACACGTCTTCTTTGCAGCAGCTAGGCTCAGCCACCACCCTGCTTGGCTGAGTTTACAAGTCTGTGGTAACCTGTAGCTTTTATGTCACTTCTCTGGTTCCCCTCTCCTGCTAGGCTTTGTCTCCTGGCAGTAATTAAATCCTTCTGCCACTGCCGCAGCCACCACTGCTGCTGGAGCCACCACAGCCATCTTTGTTTCGTGGTTTGGCAGAGTATTGGCCTCCACCACCATAGGGGCCAGAGCTTCTGCCTCCAAAGTTCCCTCCTCTCATAGGTCCAAAATGTGAAGATTGATTGTCGTAACTGCTAGAATCATTACAGCTTTTGTCACCTCCAATATTGCTTCTACCATTACCAAATCCATAGAGCCATCCCCACTGCCACCATATCCACCACCACCACAGCTGCCACTAAAACCACCTTCACCACTGAAGTTTTCTCCATGGCCAAAGTTGTCCTTCTCATCAAAACCACCTCCATGACCACCTCTGGAGTTCCCAGAAAGACTTCACCCTCTTTGGCTGGATGAAGCACTAGTCACCTCTTGCTTGGATAGGGCTTTCCTTACATCACAGATGTGACCACTCACAGTAGGGTATTTCTGAATGACAATCTTGTCTACAGAGTCAGGGTCATCAAAGGTTACCAAAGCAAAGCCTCTCTTTTTGCCACTGCCTCAGTCAGTCATGATTTCAACCACCTCAGGTTTCCCATACAAGGTAATCTCTTAGATGATGTTCTCCAGTGTCTTCCTTAATACCACCAACAAAAATTTTTTCACAGTGAAGTGGACACCAGATCTTTGAGAATCTTCTCTTGAGATAGGCCTCTTTGGTCACCCAAGAATCCTTTCCACACCATGTGGCCCTGCACTCGTGGCCACAACCACCTCCTTCACAGTGGCTGACACAACAAACCCAAAGCCTCTGGCACTTGGAGTTGGTATCTCTCAGCACCGCAGAGTCTGTGCACGCTCCTCATTGCTCAGAAAGGCTCCTCAGACTCTCATTGGTTGTTTCAAAACTCAAACCTCCAATAAAGAGCTTCCTCAGCTGTTCAGGCTCTTGGGGAGACTCTGAATTAGACAGGACGACTGCAGGAAGGGAGACTTCAGTGATGCTTACTCAGCAGTGTCCACCAGCAGAAAGGTTGTCCCATTGGTTCTTAATACTGAGAAACTGACCTGAGTGAGCTAAAATGTTTGTCAAGGTCAATGTTGAAAGAGGTGTCCTTTGGTGTTTCCTTTTGCTTGTTTCTTCTGGATGTGAACAGACATTTGAATTACAAAAAGCAGGGGGGAATGTGGACTAAGGACAGTTAGGGTGCGTAGAAAAATCTCAGCATTATTGAGAAGGTTGGGTTGAAAGTATTTGGGGTTTTTTTTTAGAACAATTACAACATAGTTTATTGTATGGTCAAACAGGACAACTTTTTTGTTATTCCCTGTAATCTCCAAATTTCCCAGTTGGTTTCTGGTAACTTCTAAAGATTTGACTAATTTATTTTTCCACCTTTGGAAAGTGGCATCACAGTGTAAACCAGCTTTACTCACAATTCATTGAGTGAGAAACATTTTTTTAAAGATTTCATTTATTGATTTTTAGAGAGAGGGTGAGGGAGGGAGAGAAAAGGTGGGAAAGAAGCACCAGTCGCCTCTCACCCAGCCCTCAATTGGGCACCTGGCCACAACTCACACTTGTGCCATGACAAGGAACCAAACCGATGACCTTTTGGTATACAGGACAAACGCCCATCCCACTCAACCACACCAGTCAGGACTGGCTGAGCAACTCCGTAAGTATCAGAACAGCCCTGAAATGTTGAAGGAACATTTGAATACATTTTATTCACATTCTAATTTGAACAGAGAGGCAGTGGGGTTCAGGAATGGATGGTTTTCTTCCTAACTAAGCCACAGACTCGGCAGTATGTCAGGCACAGTAATTCTTACCCACTCCCCACTTTATTCCCAGGATGCTGGAAATGACTAAGCCATCAGACAATAAACTATTATACCCAGGAAGTTAAACAGTGACTTATGTGTGAAGACTCTTACGAAAAATGAACAGGAGAACATGAGAGAATTTACTACAGCAAGGCCTCACCTTTTTATGGGTTTTTCATTGAGAAAGGTGTGGAATGAGGAGAGACATGGGGGTTTGGCTTTAAGCTGATGCCTGAATACTTTGAGCCTAGGCAATCAATGGGGACTTGAACAAGAAGGTGGGGAGAAAGAAGCTCAGATAACGGTGCACAATTTAATGAATATGAGGAGGAATAATACTCTGTGTGATACGAAGAATTGTGAAGGAAAAGATGAGCTTTGAATAGTATGTTCAAGACTATGATTGAGGTGTATTGTTTACAAAAATGGCTGAGATAATTCCTCCATCCTATTCATATACCCCTTTGTTAGTGGGACCTCGTCACCCCTCCCATTGACAGCGGAAGTGTATTTCCCTACCCCTGGAACCCAAGCCAGCCTTGTGACTTACTTTGAGCAACAGAACGCAGCAGAAGTGACACGGTGTGACTTCCAGGCCCAAGCCTTGAGATGCCTTTCAGCTTCTTCTCTTGCCCCCTTGTGAGGCTGCCTCTCTGGAAAAACCCAGGCTAGCCTCTCTGAGAATGAGGGACCACGTGGAGAGAGAGGTCCAGCTGCTAGCCAACACCAATCCCAGACATGTGAATGAGACTATAAGATGGCCAGTCCCAGCCCACCTGCCAACTGACTGCACTCATATGAGTAATCCAAGGTGAGACCAACAGAGGCACTGCCCGCTGAGCCCAGCCCATATTGCTGACTCACAGGATTGCAAACAGATAGATGATTATTTAAAGCCACCACATTTTGGGAAGGTTTGTGAGGCAGCAATAAACAACTGGTATAGAAGTTGGTGCTAGAAGTGGAGTGTTGCCATAAATAACCTAGAACAAGTGTCATTAGCCTTAGGACAAGGTAGAGGCAGAAGCTGGACAAGGGATAAGGAAGCTGTTAGTGGACTAACTGCACTAGAAATGCAGTGAGGAACTGCTCTGTGAGACTGGCAAGAAGGCAGTCTACTGGATGTAGTGACAGAACAGTTGGCAGAATGTTGCCTGCAGTAACTTGGGAGATAGAAATGCACCTGATGAACATTGGATCTGAGGATGGAGATTCTGTCTGAGGCAGAGAGCAGGAGCAAGAGAGTGAACAAGAGCCAGAGAGAGAAAGAGAGGAAGAAGATGAAAAAGAAACTACTCAGTTTGCAAGCAGAATTTAAAGGGAATATAGAATTTGGGATTTGGAGCATAGAATATAGAACTTAGAGGGAATTTAGAGGCCTGGTATTTGCTTGATTGAAACATAAAATCATATTTTATCTCCAAATCTTTTCAGTTGGCAAAAGATGCCTGGAGTAAGAAATAGCTTCAGGAAAAGATGAAACCAAAGGTGTGGCTTAAGAACCCTTTACCAACACCTCGAAAAACCTAGTAGACCCTCTCAGCAGGATAAGAGCTTTACACATTTTAAAGACATTTTTCTTACATCTGCTTAATTTGCTGCCCAAAGTAAAGAGAAGCCCCCCTGTTGGAGTGGCCTACAACCTGATACACCAGAAGTTCACATAGTTTTAAAGAAGCTGCACTGCCTTAGACTAGAAGGGACAGTGTCCATGCAAAATGAAAAGAGGCTTCTGGTTGTCCAACTTTCTATGGACAGGGAGCAAGATGAAAAAGGGGTTCAGTGGAAACCTAGGCAATTCTTAAAGAAAAGGAAATAACCATATCAGAGGATGGAGCCAAGAGACCAGAGGGCAGAACCACAAGTCGAGGAGAATGATGGACTAGGGAACTACCTTCAGGGAGCAAAACTGCATCTTAATCAAGAAATTTTCTGTCTTTGGAGGGGAGGGACCTGAAAATATAGTACAGTTAAGATTCAGAAATGTCATAAACCGGTGACTGCTGCATGTCTCCAATTCCTTCCCTTTTTGAATTTGAATGTCTGCATGGTTGTCTGGTTCCTTTCTTATCACAGTGTGTTTAGGGGCAGAATGGTGTAGAATTCTGTAAACTAAAAATGCAAGGTCTCTGCACCATTCTACCCTAAACATATACTATGATGCTTTCTGTGATGTAGCAGAGAAACCTCATCAGATCTGGACTGAATTTCAATGATGTGTTCCAAACTTCAAGCCTAATGCCCCCAAATGGGATGCACCTTTAGGAGATGAGCATTTGTTTATTTGTTCGTTTTTGTTTTATAGAGAAAGGATGTGACTGCTGATGGCAGAGGTAGACTTTGCAGATTATTTGCAAACATGGGCGCAATAATTTCTCCCATCAGGATATGCACATCC